CCCAAGAAATGTTGTCTGAAGCAAATAAAATCGGTTTCGTAAACTAATTTACGTGCGCTATAGGATGGTGAAAAAATCATTACATTTCACGAACCAAAATTTGAAAACGTTCTAAATGTATCTGTACACATTTAGGGATTTAAATGCGTTTAACGGTATTGATATACAGCGTGAGTCACGCTATGAATCGATCATTATAATATATATATAGAGCGAGAGAGAGAGCGCGAGAGAGAGAGAGAGAGAGAGAGAGAGAGAGAGAGAGAGAGCGAGAGCGCGACAGCGAGAAAGAGAGGGGGTAGATATAAAGATATATATAATATAAAGCAAAATTGAATTAACTGACGTATCCTTATTCGAAAGAACTACATTTTCGACCATTCTGTCTTGATCACAGTTCGACCACCAGTGTATGTGAACTGTAGCCCTATTTAAGACTGAATATTTAAAAATTGTGTTCTTTTGGATAGCTATGCATCAGTTAATTTAATCTCGCTCTATATAGTAAATGCCTATAGTGATGACAGAGCAGGAGTCCAACATCTTCTTTATTCTATTATAGGCCTATATATATATATTATATAATATATATTATAAAATCTCAAATCGCCATTCCAGAATCGTTGCAATTCATCAACGTTGTGATGTCACATTTATGTTCCATATTCATCGACATGTTTTTCTGACAATAAATTATCGCAATCTATGAAAATTACCTTGAAAACATCAATGTCGACATTGTCGATGAGGAACTTGACCGATTTGCACCATCCCCATGCAGCTGATAAGTGGAGTGGTGAGTAGCCTTTGCGGTCATACTCACGGTAGTCGGCACCGAAATCAAAACTGTTTTCAAGTATATCTTCTTTATTTGTCAGACATGCTGCCTGTGCTAACACTTTTCTATCGCTTTCAGAAAGATCTTCTAACTCCGGATTCTCCGATGAAATTTTCGCGATAATTGATATCGCTTGCTGACGGTCTACCAGCATGTCTCCCTCGGTATCTAGACCACTCTGACTCTCCGTTTGCTCTGATGCATCGCTACTACTACTAGTGTAAGCAGATGTTCTTGACCCACTAGTAGTGCCACTGTTTCTGCTTCGTGAACGATTGCCAATCTTTTGTTTGATACGTTGAATTATTTGACCCATGTGATGGGCACGATGTGCAACGGACTTGTGAAGTAACTTTTTTCTCGTTTCCTTTGTTCTAGCCATTCGGCCGCGTTTCTAGGGCACATCAACAAGTGACCTCACAATAACGTCTTCTATTCTAAATCGTTGGCCATAACAACACGTTGCCGCGCAACATTCCACGAGCACCAATTGTTTTCCTTTAAACCGACATCACAATGATGATCGCAAGGCTCTAGCTGATGTTTCGAGCAAAGAAAATGCGATAACCTCATAAATATTAGTAGACCTTCAAAGTCCATTAAGAGACTATATCGAAGACAGAAGGAGACAAAGTTGATCAAATTGCGATACTGGATTAACTACAAAGCTTGCATGGTAGAAACGGCAACGAATTTGACTACTCTGAGAAACTATAACCGTGGTACACGCCGACGTGCGTTAATCTGTCAAATGAATCATACGCACAGAATCGACCAATCTGCAAGAGCACGCGGAAATGGCACAAAACCGCTAGAAATAGAGGACGGCACAGACGCAATTTTTCACCGGGGCGTGGATAATATCGGCACTAATATGTGGAGGTCGTGGTACGAGCGCGTCAAGGAAATGGAGAGCGATTGCAAACGCGCAGAATCGAGCATAAAGCAACAGCCGACAAACACGCGACGGGATGATTTGCCCGCCCCCTTCGATATATTTCGCAAGGCAGCAAGAACAGTGAAAATGCTGGTGGCCGTATGTATTAGCATCAAGCGTTACGCACTGGAGTACGCAAAAGATATACCAAACCTGACGACACTCTCTGGCGATCCTGAGTACGTGAAGCGCGTACATCGCCGGTTTACTTCCACAAACTTCAACGGGGAAGTTTTCAATCCAGAGCATTATAAGGTAGATCTGGAATGTCAGTGGCCGACGTACGCGTGTAAGCTTTTGCTAAAGAAGACGTGTCAACGAACACAGAACGATATCGATGTCATTAGGCAACACATGAGGTCTCTGAGTAGCTTCAGACCATACACGCGCGAGACGCAAGATCTACTATGCACGGTAGTGCGTTATGAGAGGTACATAAAATAAGTTGATTATACGAGCTTTGCATGCGTACTAATCAATCGATTGATTGGTAAATGCTGATGAATATTTTTTAAATTTCTATATTGCAAATTAAATCGTATTAACTATTGTAGCTCAGCATCGAACATTTTCGCCATAATTGACATACTGTGTCTTTTCGCTAACGAAGGTACGGCCCGCAACGTATTATAGTACGCAAAGGTCACATCGGTTACGCCCTGTACTTCATCTATTCGGGCTCCGTCAATGTTACCTTGCATACGGACACGGCCGACGTATTTTCGAAGACTGGTATGGCCATTCTCCGCAAGGGCGCCTGCTTCGGCGAGGTGGCTTTGGTTAAGAACGTAAGACGACAAGCAACGGTCGTTACGACTAGCAACACTGAAGTGCTGGTGGTGGATAGACATGATTTTCGCGAACACAATCTCCACCTACACTGGAACATGCAACAAGACCGTCGCCATAACTTCTTAAAGGTTAAGTGAACACATTTAAATATTAGTGTGCCTCTCTTCCAGTAGAGATTATCAATAAATCTCATGGACGTACACCGTGAAAGATTGAAGATTAATTATGAGTACGTTCTTCGGCACGCAGGTATGTGCGCATGTGTGTGCGCACTGCGCGTGTGCGTGCGTTTATGAGTGCGTATAGGCATGTGTGCGCTTGTGCAAAAGCGCGCGCGCGTGTGTGCGTGTGCGTGCGCGTGCGCGTGTGCGTGTGCGTGTGTGTGTGTGTGTATGTGTGTGTGTAAAACCGAGCAGCGCCGCTAACCCATTTGCGTTTGGAACCCTAACGATGCGTGAACTTTTCTTGCTTCTAGGAACTGCCTTGGCTACACGACTGGTCCGACAGCAAGATACGCATCCTCAGCGAAGACAGCCGCATCGAGGAATACAGGCGCGATGCGAAAATATGCGACAACGTCTCTCACGGCTGGGTCTACATCATCTACTTCGGCGAATGCGAGGAGATCTGTTCGATGCAAGTGCAAGACAGTCACGTCCTGCAGCCGGCACGTTCCAGGACAAGCTCGTCGCCGACGGGGCAGGCGAGAATGAGAAGGAGATCGATTTCGCCGGATAGAGCGTTGCGCCTCAAATCTGCCAGGCCGGGTAGCTCCCGTAATGCCGGTGGCAAGCGAAGACCAAAGACTGCTATGTGTCAGAAACAAGTACAGATGCATATCTCCACGACCGGTGCGCATAAGTCGAAATTTCTTCGCAGTAAAAGCGCGCCGGTAGGCAAGAAGTGTGTGTCGATCCAGGACTGCCGCCCGCCCAGCATGAGTCCTCCCCCATCCAGGTCACATAACGGTAACACAATCGGTACGATAACCGATAGCAAAGTTGCCTTTGTCAAGGTTAATAACCTCAAAGTTGGGCAGGCGTTTGGACTGCACTCGCTACTTGGAATGCCGGTCCCTGCCAATGTGAAACTCATCAGTAAAGGTTTGTAGCTAGAGAGAATCCATCTATCTATCTATATTTATCGATCGATCTATCTATCTATCTATTTATCGATTGATCTATCTATATATATATCTATCTATCTATCTATCTATCTATCTATCTATCTATCTATCACTATATCTAGATCTATCTTATCTATCCATCCATCCATCTATCCAGTCCATCCGCGATGTATTGCCATCTCCATATCATGTCATTCATTTGCCAATCGCATCCATCCATGCCATACCAATATCCATCCATCCATAGAATCATCCATTCCGCATCCATCTCCATCCATTCCATCCATCCATCCATCCATCCATCCATCCATCCATCCATCCATCCATCCATCCATCCATCCATCCATCCATCCATCCATCTATCATCCATCAATCCGCCCGTCCGTCCGTCCGACGGTCCGTCCGTCCGTCCGTCCGTCCTTCCATCTATCCATCCAACCAACCAATAACCCAACCAACCCACCAACTAACCAGCTAACCGCGTGTCCGTGCGATATAAGTGGCACACGCTTAGAAGGCGTCAATAAACTAAAATCCTATACATGTTCAAAGAACGTTGTCGTAGATAAAAGCTGCTCACATCCCATATTATGATAACATAACATCGCTTCATAGTGTCTGTATTCGTTTATTCATAATGCCACCCCAGCTCCAACCTTCAGCTCTGCTTCAACATACCACCTTTTTTCCATCATTCCCTGATACAGGCTGCAGAGTGATAAAGGTGAGCCGTACGGACCTGATACAGCTCTCTGATCTGAAGACGCTAGACAGCATGCGCGCGCACCTGCACACATACCCTACATCGGCAGAGCTGATCACGCAGGTGCGCAGACAGACGCAGTGGGACACCTATAAACAGGATGTTCTCTTGGACGTCCACGACAAGACTGTTGAGAGATGTTTTCATATGAGTTTGAGACACTACAATGGCGGCGTCACAATATAAGTCACACTAGCATCTGCTGCGAGGTTAACGCGTAAATAAAAGTCATTCAATCGCTCGTACATTTGCATTACTTAGTGTATGACTGTATATTATATATAGTAATATAGTTAGTTAGCCTATATAGCTTATACAATATAAAATATTAGTACCCCGTATATATATACTTGGGAAAATAATACGCATTATAATATTATAATTTTGAGGTGCACGCATAAATTTGTCACATATTGCGTATTTTATCAGGTAAAAGACGTACGTATAATTTATTATTGCATTCATGACAAATTTTTGTAAACCCAATCTCAATATTATCGGGTTTTAAGGTAATTATAAAAATAGCATCAAGTCGTACACATCACTGTGGTTATTATGTCTTGTATTTTTAATAAAGAAACGCTGGTTACTGCATGAGTACAACAGCTGAAAACATTTATGCCGAGTAAGAATCATGAAGCAAATGTATCACAATCAACGGCCCTAGCTTTCTCCGTATGATATTGATCTATGTTATAGATACATTCCTCTGATATACAATATAGCATTGTTGCTACACGTACAGATTTCTTTCTTATACTATAATATAGACTATAGTCATATATAGACTCGTCTACACGACGAACCTTAAATCGAGTTAAGCTAATTCGAGTTAAGCGTTAACTCGAGTTAGCTATTATGTAGCGTCTACACGACAACACCCGATAGCGCATTGATTACCGATTTATTAGTGTTCATGGCGTGTCTGGTTGGTGTAGTAGTGATAAACGAGACCGTGCGTGCGTGTGATGCGTGCGTGTGCACGATATACGTGCGTGCGTGCGTACGTGTGTACGTACACGTGCGGTTCGTACGTGCGTGCGTAGCGTGTGCCACGTACAGGGTGGGCGTGCATGCGTGGAGTGCGTAATGCTTGGGCGCTGGACTCCTGGTGCGTGGTGCATGTGCAGGTGTAGACAGCGGCGTCGGCACGATACGGATCGAGGTGTGTGCGGTGGCGGTGTGTCAGGAGGATAGCGGACAGGACCATCGAGCGTGCGTGCGCGGCGTGCGCCAGGTACACGTTGGTTGCGGTTCGTACAGTTCACTTGAGTCGCCGGTGGCGTGGTGCACCCGGGTACAGCGTGCGTGCATGCGTGAGTGGGTAGATTGTGCGTGTGGAGTGGGTGGTAGCGTCATCGCGCCGTGCGGGTGCGCATCGTGCGGCGTTGGTGCACGTACACGTGCGTGCGTTGCGCCGTGCGTGCGCGCTGTGCGTGCCTTGTGCACGTACACGTGCGTGCGGTGCTGCGCGGTATGCAGGTTACAGCGGTTTCGTGCCGTTGCGTGGTGGCGTACGTAGCCACGGTGACATCGTGTGTGCGGATGTGCGTGCCTGCGTTTGCTATGATTGCATGCTGCACGTACACGTGCGTGCGTGCGTAGCGATGGCATTGTACACGTGCGTGCATGAGTGTGTCGCGTTGCCGAGTGTGGATAAGTGGACAGCGCTGGCGGGCGTGCGCGCGTGTGCAGGTACACGTTCGCGCGTGCGTGCGTGCGTTGCGTGCGTGCATGCGTGTGCACGTAACGGTGGTGCTGCGTGCGTTGCCGTACACTGCTTGCCATTGGAGTGTGTTGCGTTGGCGTGTGCAAGTACGCGTTGCGTGCGTGCGTGTGTTACGTACATCGTTAACTAGTCGCTGGTCGCCTATCGTGGGTTAAGCCTACTCGAGATTAAGCGTCTTACAGCGGGCTTAACTCGAGTTAGCGTGCTGAGACTCGATCGGACTGGCACGAGGTTTACGGGCCGTAGAGGAACTCGACAGGTCTGAACGTTAACTCGAGTTACTTAACGCCTAACTCGAGTTAAGGTTCGTCGTTGTAGACGTAGCTTATATGTATGAAGTTCATATATTATTGAGATGGTGAGCTACGTATCACTCGTAGTTAGATGCTATGGTGTATATAACTATATATTATAGGGTATATATAAATATATATATATGGCGGGACCATTTACAACTGAGAACGGTGAATTATAACACGGCCGGGGATGTGATGATATATAGTACGAAATCACGGTGCCTATAATATAGTTATCAATAACAAGTTTATACAGTGTATATAGTCGAAACACACACAGAAAAGTAAATACGATTGTTAGGACTGCTACATTGTTATACTATTTATATTATGTCTAGCACAGAATCGCATTGCAATCAGTGAATGAAGGCGCTGTGGAATAGTAGTGAACGCGGCATATATTGTTTTATGAAGGTTCTATGACGTAGCTATAAAAGCATATTATAGTGCCGCGTTCGTCAGGTTACCATGGATGATACGATACAGAGCACTTGCTATATCTACTTCCGCATTACCAATAACGATGCAAGTATATGATCACCTACTACATTTTAATAGTAATTATTAGATGTACATTATAATAAGATTTTTGTGTTTGAGTGTAAGAGCGGCAAAGATCCGACACCCTGCATAGCAGAGCTGGAATGCACCGTTATATGACGTCATTGTAATGGTATTTCGCGCGGGAGATATTGCGGTGTACGTGTACCGCCGATATGACTGCATACGTCGATATCGTAAGATTTCTTGATAACATATAACAATTGCTAATAGCTAACTAAGTTACTAATCATAGAGAGTAGACTGTTTTATTCAAATTAAAGTGAATGACACGCCAACTCTGATATAATACGTGTCACTGTCACTGTGTTGAGGCGTGACGTGTCAGCGCAGTACTTAGATTCCTGCCGCTAGCTGGCGCACCGGCACCGGCATTTCGGTTAGTCGCCATATTTTGACGAGTCGAAGTAGGAAGCCCACACCCTTGAAGATTAGATCGCTTCTATCGTACGTATATAACTATGTTGTTTCTAAGCAATCATTACCAATAGTTTGTTGTTAATTTATTCTACAAAACTACGCTAGGTCACCGTTCCGAATTCTATTGGTTTACGAAAAACTCGAGGAACACGAACAGACAAAACAGACAGGTCCAACCAAAGGCGTTTCCCTAGGATGGCTATGCAAGAGGCACACCATTAGTTATTACATTACTCATTAGTTAGTCATCGAGGTCATCGCGACGCATAGTTTCCATAATTTGCTTTTATGGAGACTTTTACGTCATCGTTATCTTTGTTGTTATATTCATAATAAAGCTGATTTTATTGTAAATGCTTAGCTGTTGGCAACCGTTATTTTTACTGGGTGTGGCAGCATTGCCATAGCCATAGGCCGTACCCAGTCGGAAATGTTTACCGCTTACTCTTCCGCACATGAATATTATGGCAGATATCATAACTGATTTAACCTTAAAATTATTCTTAACCTCATGTCTAACCCAAATTATACCCCTTTTAAACAGAATGCAGTGGATATTTAACCAGCGTATACGGCATCCACTTCCGCTATTTTACCGTACACCACATTTGATTAGCTAGTATATTTATGACATCATCGACATTATGTTCACATCCCATAAGGTTTAGCTATCTAGAAAACTTTTAGGTTCAAATCCCATTTATTTCTACACATTTGTAACCCCGTTTGATCATAGAAGCTGTTTGCACTGAATCATGTTTCCAATACAATTCAACCTTTTGAACACATTCATAATATACTAACATACATGATATATTCACATACATAAATATACTAGCCAATAAGAGGTACTGTACGGTAAAATAGCGGAAGTGGATACTCTGCCGTATAGACCAGTCTTAAATATTATTCATGACCTGGGGTCATCGCACAAAAACGAGGCTAAACTAGGCAATTTTGTAAACAATGGTTGCTCAGGCAGGCACGCACAGAGGGGGTACACGCACGTACACGCACAGACCTGCCAACTGTTACGTATTGCCCGTAATTTGTTAAGGACGCGAGTCAAAATTACGGTGTTACGGACAACCTCGAAAAATTACGGACAGCAAGAAATCTCTGAAATTTAT